AAAAAGGGGTCAAAATATTTCAAATGCTTATGTTAAGGTTGAGTGTGATAAATTAGCCTTTATACTTTTTTTCAATTAAATAATTTCAGAACCTTCTTCTGATGTCTCAAAGTTTATGGTTTATTCTATATGAATTTGAAAAGTGATTAGGGCAATTATTAAATGTGTTTGAGCCTTTCAAACTGGCCGTAATGATCTTCTCTTTGGAACCTATATTATGAGCCCTTAAAAAAATGTTTTGAATCCTAACCTCTGCCTAACCCAAAACCAATTGAGAAACACTATGAATTTCCTAGCTTTGAGATAAATAGAAGTAGGAGAGATAAGGAGTGTGATGAAATGCTGAAATTGTGGAAGGTTGGTGGGGGTATGGAAGTTGTTAGAAAATTCAAAGTGTTCAAAAACCAAGTTGTGATTTATGGCTCTTTAATGTTATGTTTTGTCTTAAAAAAAAGGAGAAAAAGAAAAAGAGAAAGGTATGTAAATATTTAATTCAATTCCATGAAAGCTTAGTGAGAAGAGAATTAATTTTAGTATAGGTTTGGGGGAATAGAAGTGGTTGGAATGAGCTTTGATTACGGTCAACTATTTATCTCAAAGTATTTGCATATGTTATTCTTCCCTTCTTCCATGAACCATGACCTTTTTGACCATGTTACAATCCGAAAAGTCCCTTTGATTTTGAATTTATGTGGGGTGAGTTGTAGGCATAGAGAAAGAAGGAGTTAGGCTTATAAAATTATGTGGTTGAAGGTTAGTATATTAGCTAAAGTTTCACACTCTGCTTGGATATTGGCATGAGAGATGTTCTTTGACTCTGTACACACATTTAGACTCCAAAATCATTGAAAATTTGTTTTAAGCTCATGAAACTTGCATCTTTAGGTGATTCATTGATTTCCTACCTTGTATATTTCTTGGAGCAATTGATGAGGATGTAGCCATTCCTATAGTTTTTTATGTGCAATTTGTTACCCAATTTGCTGGTTGGTTGTTTTACTTGAGGACGAGCAAACGTTTAAGTTTGGGGGTGTGATAACCTCTCCAAATTCCTACTAAATCAACTTGTTTTATCAATCTTTCCTAGATTTTGGAAGCATATTATGCAGGATTTTCCTCTTAAAGTTAGAAAACATGATTTGATAAAGTGAATTTTGATTTATGCTAACAATTGGGGGATTATTGGTGCGAGACTTTTAAGATTCTTTGTGCAGGAAATTGCAAGAGCTGAAAGATGGATAGATAACAAGGAGAAAGATTCAACCAAGTCTGAGTGATAAGGGAAGATCAAGGACCTAGAGCGAGCAAGGGTGAGGGACCAGAAGCAGAGAAGCAAAAAGAGGACCAACCATCGTGGTGGTTCCAACAAAGAAGAAGGATGACATTCGGTATGAAGCATCGCAACTCCTGTCCCTATCTGCCGCTGTGCCCAGGCTATTTCAAGAAGATGCTATTCTGTGTATAGAGCCGCGATGCTTGTCCATATCTGCCACTGTGCCCAACCTTTCCCCAAAGAGTCCCATTCTATGTAATTTGTCGCGACGTATGTCCATATCCACCGCGGCGTCTACCTCCTCGCAGCTGTGCATTTTGAATTGTAACTTAGAAATTAGGGCATATATGTGTGGGGACTCGTGATTTTCAGATATACTTTGACTTGGGGGCTCGTTTAGAGGCTTGCTCTACTAGGGTTTAGAGGTTTTGAAGCTTAGGAACATTGGGCTTGAAGTTGTAAGAGATTGAAAGCTTCTTCCTTCATTTTTCTTGGTTTTCTTCTTCTCCCCTCCTTTGTTTCTATAATGGCTGGGAAATATCTTTATAGCTGTGGCTCTTTGCTAAACATGTGTAGCTAGAGTAGTCATCTTAGGGTTATTTGGATCTATTATATGGATTAAGACTTGTCTTAATTCTCTCTTTAGTGTTAATAATAATGTTATGTTGTTTTTACCTTGATCTTAATGCTTCCTTGTGATTGGCCACCATTTGGAATGTTTAGTTGATTGGTTGGAACTTGAGAAAGTTAAATTAATCTTTGAACTTAGATAAAAACGTGCTAGACCAGAAATTTATTCTATTAAATAGAAGGTTTGTTGATAGAATAGAGATATATCTATTGATCTAGCATAGTCTAAAAAGGGATTTTGGTTTTTAAAGTGCAACCTTTTCAAACAAAAGCAAGAGATTGCGAAGTTTTATTGAGATTGCAAAACTTAGTTTTGACTTGAGAGAGCTTAATCAATGTTTGTGAACCCTGGACTAACTAAACTTATTGTTAACCACTATTTGAGAAGTGATTAGTCAAGTTTTATGAAGTATATTAGTGAGAAATAACCCTAGACCCTTATTTATCTCAAAGTCAAGTTTATTTCACTTCATTTTAAATCCTTATTTTTCTGATCACATTACACAACCTCTTTTAGAACATTTACTTCATGTAACCTAATCAAAAACACAATTATGATTTTTAAGTCGTCTGGCCTTAGTCTCTGAGAGAACGATACATTTTATATTACTTATGACCCGTCCGCTTGCGGTTAGGCTATTCGACTAACATAGTTTAAATCGGAGGAGTACTTGATAGCAATTCTCCTTAGAATATATAGATGGAAAACTAGTCAAGATTGTACCCAACATATGGATCCAGTCTCACTCAGAAGGGTTTTTTGTTTTTGTTGACCTAGTCAAATCATTCATGCGTGACATTCTTGGAAGTTGGAAAACTTGTTCAAATAATAATAATAGTAGTAGTAGCAGCAGCAGAAAAATATTTTATAACAGTTTGAAAAAGATTCCTATTTATATTTTCTTTGTTGCAACTCGGAAGAGCAGAAGTATTTGATATAAATAAACATTAGCTTCTAAGTGTAATAATAAACCCTTGTATAGCAAGAACAAAAAGATTGGCCATAATGATCTACGGCTAAATTATTGAATAGACTTGGAAAAACAATCTAACTAAAATATTTGAAACGGCTGAGTTCCACATAATACCCTAAACTACTTTTTTAAGTAGCACTTATTATTTTAAACTAATATTTACTATATTCACCACTCTAAATTATATTTTTAGTAGCAATGAGCATTCTAAACTCAGGAGATACTGAGTACTACTGAAAAAATTACTTTAGAATATTGAGTGTTACTAAAAAAATATTTTGAAGTGTTAGATGTATTAAAATTTTTTTCAAGATATTAAGTGCTTTTGTGAAAAATTATTCTGGATTCTGGATATTACTTAACCCTATTTGAAATATGAAATAATTTTCAATGGTCACACGAACCCAAATTGGCGAATAAGGTTGACATATTTTCAATAGAAATGAATTGCAGACTATAAAAGTATATCTTTTTTTTTTTGTTTTTTAAAGCAGCAAACGTCTATAAATATATCAGGAGATGAAAACTATGGATGTCAATTGTGAAGGACCCCTATGCTAGCTTGGTCTCAGATGGTCCTTTTTTAGTCACTTCCTTACTTCCAGAGACTTTTTGTATTCTTATTCATAAATCATTGCGTAAAATTTACAAAGAAATTAATTAATATTTTTTAACACTGTCATTGATGTGAATATTCTTAGAAAATCATGATGGAGAAAAAGGGAGTGAGAGAGATGAGTAGATTAATCCTATACTTTGTTGCATTTACTGAAGGGTATTTTTGAAAACATGATTAATTTTAAAAACTTCAAGCTGTTTTAATTATTTTGTTTAATTTGATGAATTAATTAAATAATATATAAATAGAAAGCAGAGAATAACATTAATTCCAGAAGGACCACTTTCCTTGCCATTGGACAAAAATTCAAACCTACGGATTAAGAATCTGGGGTAGAGAGTTGAAGAGCACACTCAAGCGCACACAACCACATGATTCACACAAATGAATTCGAAGTTGATGAAAAATCCATAGGTCAAGTCAATTTGTTTCTATGTAAGGAAGATGCATGGCAAAAAGAAAAATCGAAAAACACAAAAAAGTTTCTAGCCATTTATATAATATTTGTAGTAATTTTTGTTATTACTATTAGACCTGTTCTTGATCAGAACCAATTCCCAATTAACATACTTTTTAACGTTACTAATTAGAAGTTGTTGAATATTCAATGTTGATATATTCAAATTTCACTGTAAAAGCATAAAACTACTCATAAATATGAGGGAGAGTGACATTTTAAGTCTCAAAAACACGAATGCATGACAGGTGCTAAAATTTTTTTCTAAAAGGTAGGTTGTAAATAATTATCAATTCATTTAGTAGTGTAAACAATAACCTCAGTCAGTCAGTCACTAACTTAAAGTTACATTTAAAATTAGATGCTTTATTGATATCCAATTAAGATATCGGAATTTGCAATTATTTGAATTCATATTTGCAACTCATTTTTAAGAAAAATCTATCGATGACTAACTGCCATTAATTGAGTCATTTGGGATCTCGCTTCCATTATCTCCGAGTATTGGTATTTGCGTATCATTAACTATTACTCTCCATTCTTTAATATAAGACCTATATTAACTAAAATTTAATTAAATTAAGAAAGTTTAATAAGTTAATTTAGAAAAAAATTAATGAATATAAAAAGTAAATATTATATTTAGGACTATGATCAACTTAATAATTAGATTATACATTAAAGATCGGAGGAGTAGGATTTTTCTAAACTCTTTTAAAAGTAAAAAGGTACGCAAGTAGCACAAGGTAATTCCAAATACCACAAGGTGAAACAATACTTGCCGCTTATATAAACCCCCCGACCTTGCCAAAGTACTCAAACCACTGCTCATCTTAATTGGCTTGAATTGGAGATCTCAAGCTTGAGGGGAGTTGTTCATGATCTGTATTGCTTTTCTTCTATTAGTTAACTGTCTTCTCTATTATGATACTAGTACAACATAAAGGGGTAGCTTCTTTATAGAATTAAGCAAATCACATGGAGAGGGCACCACAATGCATCGTATGGTTACTCTTGATCCAACTTTTGCTTAATATTTGTGATGCAATGCTGGATAGAAGGAAACTCACCAGCAGCGACGACGCTGCTCGCCTTGGTAAGACCACAAAGTTTCCGTCTCATAATGTTCTGACTCACCCAACCTTTTGTTTCAATGGTACATAAGTTTACCTTAAATATAAAACTATCCATAAACTATTCGTGTCAACTTTTGCCGGCACAGATTTCATAAGCATTGACTGTGAAGCAAGTAGTGGATACATTGATCCACGAACTGGAATCTCGTATTAGACAGACACAGGTTTTGTAGACACAGGGATAAATTATAGAGTAGCAGATGAAAAAAGATTTGACGTGGATTATCCTCTTTTTGGAAGACAACTCCAGCCTCTGAGAAGTTTCCCAGAAGGGGAAAGGAATTGCTACACCCTGAAACCAAAACAAGGCGAAAGCAACAATTACCTCATCAGAGCTTTCTTCGCATATGGGAATTACGATGCCAAAAGTAAAACTCAAACATTTGACTTGTATCTCAATGTCGATTTTTGGACAATTGTGGATTTGGATTTGACTGATCATCTTCAAGTTGTAGAGATTATCCATACTCTCACAACCGACTCCATACACGTTTGCCTTGCCAACACTGGCAGAGGAACACCTTACATTTCTACATTGGAACTACGACCTCTTGGGAATTCTATTTATCTAGCTTCATCTCCTCTATCTCCATCTCCTTCTCAATCACTATTAGTCCTTGATACGAGAGTCGATGTTGGTTCCACTAAGTTTGCCTCAGGAGACTTTACAAGGTGACTCTAATCTTATACTTTTTTTTAGTGTTTGCATGCTCTCATCTCTAGGTCTCTCAAATGAATTATATGTCTTTTTAGCTGGTCATGTTATGCATGCTTTCCTACAAAAAAATTATAAATTAATTTATCTAATACTGCAAGCTTATATATAGATTTAAGGATGACACCTATGATCGTTTGTGGCGTATGGACGATATTTCCCCAGATCAGGGTTGGGAAGTGTTCCATAGGTCGAACGATATTGATGTTGAAAGCATTAACGATTCTTACAAATTACCGAAGGAAGTGCTTATGTCTGCGACCAGATCACGGAATCTCTCCTCTGCTGTACAGCTTGACTATGAATCTCACTGGACGACACCACTTGAAAAGTCTTTTAATTATTATGTCATCTTTCACTTTGTTGAAATTGAGAAGCTTCCCGCTGGGCAAAAGAGAGTAATTGATATTACTGTCAATGGTCAAAATATCCTCTCACGGCCGATAACTCTTGAATACTTCAAGCCAGTGACAATTATTAATGTCACAAATCAAGATGGTCTTCATTTCAAAATAAGTGCGACATCAGAATCTGATGCTCGTCCAATCCTTAATGCCGTTGAAGTTTATAAATTTGTATCGCCACTAGCATCTCCAACGGTCCAAACAGATGGTACGCTTCTGTAGATACCTCAACCATTTCCTATTGCTCTATTATCTATGATCTCTATGTGTATGTGTTGTGTGTGTTGGCTATGAGTTCTGTGACCCTATTTATTATTTGACAACAATAGCGGATGCCATTATGGACGTAAAGAACACGTACGAAATCTACAAAGGAGAATGGCAAGGTGATCCATGTGTTCCCCAGGGATTTGCATGGAAGGGACTTGTTTGCCGCTATGACACCAATGACACTAACGCAAGGATTATCTCAGTGTAAGTATCTCACTGGTCGAATTAAAGTAAACATTCCTTATTGCACTATGAACTAGGTGATTAGTTCTACTCATTTCAAAATACTGGGATGTTTGACACTTAAATGACTTGGGTTAATTTGATGTTAATCATTCGAACGCGTCAATCTTACATTATTTATAAATTATATACTTCTCAAACTTCACATCTCCTGGCTTTGTATCTATTAATCATCATCAAAAACAGAAACTTGAGCACCAGCAAGCTAAAAGGACAAATAGCTGCTTCATTTTCACAACTTACAAAGTCAGAGTCCTTGTAAGCATATAATTAATGACTTAATTAGGACGAAACTGTGAGAATTTTGTCAAACGTAAAATATTGCTTTGTTTTAGGGATTTATCAAGCAATGGCTTGTCAGGATCTATGCCGAAATTTCTTGCTAAATTACCAAAGTTGAGAGTCCTGTAAGTTTTACAAAATACCCGCATTATTATTATTATTATTATTTTGCCTGAAGGTATACCTTAATAACTTGAGGACCCCATGATAATTAAATGCATTTCACAGCGTTTTTGCAGTAACTTGAGTGGCAACATGCTTACAGGTTCAGTTTCCAAGGCTCTTAGAGAGAAGTCAGATTTGGAAATGAGGTTTCTCGTAGAAACCTCATTTCCAAATCAATTTATCATTTTACCCTTACATATTATTTTATGTTTTTTATTGATATATTATATAAATTAATTTACATCTTAATTTAAATTATATAATTTAATAAAAATTCAGTCTTATCATGTTAATATGTGTATTAAAAAATTAGTACAGTAATTTTTTATTCTAATTAATATAATAATATATTTAAAATAATCAAATTAACAAATTTTATATGCTCTAAGAAAAATGAAATTTTATTCTCTTTAGGCTATCTTTTTTTTCCAGCTTTAAAATATATTTAATAAATAATATATTTATAAAAAAATTAATTTTATAATTTTATAATTTTTTATTTAAATAATTTTTATTTTTAAATAATTTTTTATAATATATTTTTAATTATAATAATGTATTTTTTTAGTTTTTTTTACTTAGGATAATATATTTTTTATTTGAAATAAATATTATAATAATATATTTTATTGGTAGAAGTGGAATATTAAAAAATCTATAAGGGTATAATGGTATAAAAATTTGGCTCCCCTCCAAAAACCTCCAATTTGGAGGGGAGCTAAAATGGGGGGAGGGAGGGGAGGGGTTCCCTCCAACCAAACAAACCCTTAGTTGCTCAGCTATGAGCCCATGACTACGTACCTTTTATTTATTTATATGTATATATTTCCTTGAGACAAACTTTGCAATAAAATAATAAACGTTGGCTCCAGGATTCACGTCTCTCTGGACCATCGTATTCTATATATATACAAGAGTGTACAATGATAAGATGACACCTGTCCTAGCAATGGACTGTTCTAGAACTACAAAAAGGCATAAAATATTTACTACAGTAAAAAATACATTTAACTCCCTCTGTCACTTCGAACCTCCTTTCTTTTCCTCTTCCTTTCCAAGGCAACAGTAGGTTGCTGTGGTTTCTCTATTGGTGCAACTGTTACTCCCAATTTATCTCTTAGGTAACTAAAATGTGAGTGATGAAGAGGCTTGGTGAGGCAATCGGCCACTTGATACTCTGTAGGAACATATTGAACTTTGAGTGATTTAGACAAGACTTGGTCTCTTATGAAATGTGCATCAATTTCAATGTGTTTGGTCCTTGCATGGTGTACCGAATTCGAGGCTAGTGCTGCTGCACTTGTATTATCGCACCATATGGTTGGTATCCTCTTAATTTTCAGTTTCAGTTCAGAGAGTAGAGAGGAAATCCAACATAATTCTGCAGCAGTGTTGGCAAGGGACCTATATTCAAATTCTATACTTGATCTTGCAACTACCTTTTGTTTCTTGGAGGACCAAGTGACTAAGGAGTCTCCAATAAAAACACAATACCCTCCAATTGACCTCCTATCATCTGGACAAGAGGCCCAGTCGGCATCTGAATATGCTATAATATCCAGCAATGTTGATGGTTTTAAATGGATGCCGTGATGTATTGTTCCCTGAAGATATCTTAATACTCTCTTGATTGCTTTCCAATGTTCTGTTGTGGGCTTAGACAAAAATTGACTCAACTTCCCAACACTGAAACTAATATCAGGCCGTGTGTTGCACAAATATTGTAAAGCTCCAACTGCACTTCTATATACTGAAGGATTGGACAAAGGTTCGCCTGAATGAATTGATAGTGATTTATGTGCAGCCATAGGTGTATTACATGGAGAGGCATTATTCATACCAAATCTACGCAACAGATTTGTAATGTATTTTCTTTGTGTCAAATAAAGCCCTGTTCTGTCTCGAAATGCTTCAATTCCCAAAAAATATTGAAGAGACCCGAGGTCTTTCAGGGAAAAAATACTGTGAAGTTTGGCTATGAAGCAGTTTAGACTGTACGAGTTACTTCCAGTCACAAGTATGTCATCAACATATATCAGAATCATTAAGATTTGGGACTTGTCTGAATAAATAAATAAAGAGATATCACTCTTTGAATTTTTGAAACCCCAGTCCAACAAAACATTTTTCAGCCTCTCAAACCATACTCTTGGAGCTTGTTTTAGCCCATAAAGAGCTTTGGATAGCTTGCAAACATGATTAGGCTTAGTTGAATCAATAAAGCCTTCAGGTTGCTCCATATACACAGGTTCAGCCAGAAAACCATTCAAAAAAGCATTATTAATGTCAAGTTGCCTAATTTCCCAGTTAAATGAAACAGCAATGGTAAGAATGATTCTTATTGTAGATGCCTTAATAACAGGACTAAAGGTATCATAAAAGTCAATACCTTCAGTTTGCTGAAAGCCCTTGGCAACTAGTCATGCTTTTCTCTTGGCAAGTGTCCCATTGGGGTGAAATTTTGACTTGAATAGCCATTTGTTCTCAACTACATTAAACTTGGAGGACCGTGGAACCAACACCCAGGTTTTATTTCTTTGGAGAGCATTAAACTCTTCTACCATTGCTTGTTTCCATGGTAGAGATTTCAACGCTTCTGCTGCTGTGTGAGGAACAATCTCTTGTGATTCAGTGAGTCCAATGTAAGGTGTTTTTGGCTTGAAGATTCCTTTCTTGCTTCGAGTCTCCATAGGATGAATATTTTGTGTAGTTAGAGCTTGAGAAATGGAGTTCTCAGATAAAACATTAGAAGAATCAGGAGGCTGAGATGATTGAAGTTCATGTTGTTCGTGGGCTTCCAATGATTTTTCTTGCTCGTTTGTCACTGTTTGTGGAGAATTGTTGAGTTGATCAGGATCACAGGGAGCAATTTCTTGATTTATGTTGCTGTTGGCAGAGGAGGAAATAGATGTGGTATCCTCAGCTCCCTTACTCGGTGCATTCACTGTAGTTGAATCAACGCTTTTCTCATTGTTGTGTTCCTGTAATTGATCAACAATGTGAGTATGCTGCAAATGTACAGGAAATGAGTGAGTAATATCCATCACACGAGAGTCTTGGGGCTGTTTCAAGTTAATAAACCCATTAGAAAATGGGTATTCATCTTCATCAAAGACAACATGTCTGGAAATATAAGTTCTCCCTGTAGTGCTGAGACATTTATACCCCTTGTGAGATCCACTATATCCAATAAACACACATTTGGCACTGTGAAATTGTAGTTTGTTCTGATTATAAGGCCTGAGGAGGGGATAGCAAGCACAACCAAAGGGTTTAAACCCTGTATAATTTGGTTGTTTTTTATGAAGGACTTCAAATGGTGATTTATTGTTCAGGACAGGAGTAGGAAGCCTGTTAATAAGGTGCACTACAGTAGAGAATGCTTCCCACCAATAGTACAGTGGCATTTTGGCTTGAGCTAGTTGTGTCAATCCCATTTCCACTATGTGTCGGTGTTTTCTTTCTACTCTACCATTCTGCTCAGATGTATAGGGACATGGATGTCTGAAAATAATTCCACTATCATCAAGTAAAGACTGAAAAGATCGGTATTCACCTCCCCAATCACTTTGAAGGACTTTAATTTTTCTTTCAAATTGGTTTTCAACCATATTTTTGAAGTGTTTAAAAGCTGACAGTGCTTCTTCCTTGGTTTTAAGCGGATACAACCATGTAAATCTGCTAAAATCATCCAAGAAACTAATATAATACTTATAACTAGCAGTAGATTTAATGGGTGACGATCCCCATAAGTTAGTAGATACAAGATCAAGGGGATTCGCTGCTCGAGAGTGGGACTTTGAGAAAGGAAGTTTGTGCGACTTTCCCAATTGACATGATTCACAAAACTTAAATTCTTCATTGGATTTCAAAGACAGATTACAATCACGCAACACTTGCTTCAATACACTACTATTGGGATGGCCTAGGCGCCTATGCCAAGTTTCTAAAATAGAAAGAAAGATACTTGATTCACATTTCTTTTCTAACTCAGGTCGACTCTTAGCAAAAACAAACTGAATAGAGGCAATATCTTTAATAGTCTCAGTCCTTCCAGTAGGGACAACAGCATTATCAATCCTATATAGTCCTTGAGTTGATCCTTGTGTTGTCACTCCTTGCAGCAGTACCTTATGCTGCTTCTTGTCCTTCACCAAACAACCATGTGAGTGAACTTCAACAAAAACATTGGAGTTGTCATTAGTCAACTTGTATCCACTGATAAGGTTTTTAGAGATTTTAGGAACAACCAGAACATTATT